AGGTATATTGTAGTGGGGGAACGTGAATTGGCGAGCGATGAGGATATTTGCTCCTTCGACCCTCCAACAGAAGGATGCGATAGTGTCACGGCGCGTCGCCGTTACGGAAATATCAAAGGGAATTCCATAAAAGTGCGTTGGACAGCAAACTGTTACCGGCTTTCGTGCTTATCGAAAGTTTAACGACTGTCGGGACCAAATTGTCTTTGAAAAAACCGGAAAGAGAGGCGGTGCAAGATGTTTTCCTGAAATCAAGTTTAAGCAGATATTTTGGTAAGTAGCGCACTTAAGAGAAACGTTATGTCAGAAAGGATTCATCAAAAGTAATTTGCAATTTGTAAAAATAAAAGTAAATAGATTTAAATTGATGTTTTGCTGTGTTTTAGCTTTACAACCCAGCGGTAACGTCTCCATAATGCTGTGGAAGGATACAGAATTGCTGCTTCTGTTTATTTTCCCATTGATTTCAGGTACTGCCTTGGATCCTCTTACTTATAAAATATTGTTCATATGCTCTGTTTATTACTGCCTTTTATTAGACAGCCAGCTGTCTTGCTCTACAATACAGTGTACAAAAGAAGATGGCCTTAGCCTTTTAAAATATATTAATTAGATACTTTATTGTGGCTGGTGGACATTTTGTAGTTGCATTTTTGGAAAATATACACAGAATAAAACAATGTGCAATATAAAATACAGTACACAAACTGGCAGGTAAAGGTTATTTCACAGCAGTAGGTAAAATATTGCTAATGTGATGCTATGAGTTGTCTAATAAATAAATTGCTAAATAAAACTAACAGCTCATCTGTTCTCAATTTACCAGCCCAGAACTCTGAACTACCTGCAGTAATGGACAGTGACATTCTCACCGAATTTGCTTACCAACCTGGGCCATCGTACCCGAGTCTGATCCTGCTGGCTCTGACCGTGGGACTGTCCGGCAGCGTTTACCTCTGTGTGCTGCGGTACATTTGCACCGGCTGCTGCCAGCCTGTAGTTGTTGGACCTGAAGATGAGAGCATGTCAGGAGTGGTGTGATAGAAGCTTTTGTTTGAAAGAGAGTGTGCATTCATGACTGTGAGATTGGTATGTGTGTTGAAGCACTTATGTTGGTCTTCTTTAGTGGTGAAATAGACATCAATGTTCAGGCGTTCACAAGGCTTTGCCATATTTAAGTAATATGGTTGAAAACAGTGAAAATCTGGTCAACTATTCCTGTTATTTTCAAAATAAAACCGCAACGTTTCAATCAGAGATCACTGAAAATCTCTGATTAAAATGTTATTGTTTTATTTTAGTTGAACAGTGCAGATTTTTGGTGCAGTTTTCCATTTCGGTCATGCACCTGTTGAAGATATTTTGGATGTGCGTATTTCCCCCTCTTTTGTATTTAAGTATTACACATTGGTTGAGGAATGCCCCTATGTTTTTATGTTCCCATGTTCCTTATGAAATACTTAAATATAAATCACACTTTTTTCATTAATGTAACAGAGTTTAAGGGTCATCTAAAGGACATCAGAATGTTTAAAATGTAAGATAGAATTTGTATAATAAATTGCTTATCGCTTGTTACTCACTTGAGATAAAAGCGTCTGCAAATGACTACTTGTAAATGTGAAATTCACAGCTCTAAAGCCTGACTGTATGTTGGCAGTAAAAGAATTCATTTAGCATCTACGGAGACAAGCATTTGACTATACGGATGACGCAAGTGTTGACCGAATGAGAGGGAGGAGTAAACCATTTTAGCAGGTTTGGATGGATGCTCTGTCAGTCAAGAGAAATCACTCACAAATCCTCTGCAATACCACACACTGTACTTTAAATGAATGTATTAAGAGCTTTTGTAAAAAACAAGGTAAAACAATTATCAAGCCATTTGAAACCAAATTTTCTAATTTTTTGGGCCATAGATTTTAGTTATTTTTAATGATCTAATGATCCAGAATCGTTTTTTAGAATAAAGTCATCCAATACAACTTTCTATTACATTTATAAGCAGAATTTGAATCAGATTGCATTATTTTCATGTCAACATCTCTTGTTTAATTAAGTAGGATGCTCCCTGGGGAAGTGATCAGTCAGTTGCAGAAACTGTTGCCAAGGGCTACTGCTGGATCTAGTTGCCATGGAAATAGTTGCATCTGTTTTCCTCTAGATGGGGCTGTCACATCAGCTGTTCAGATCACCTAACTTCAAGTATTCAAAATACCTGCTACTTTAGATGTTATAGAAATACTTTTGTAGATCAGTTTAATGTTGTGTGTTTTCTAGTGTCAAACATATTAAAGGTCCCATGGCATGAAAATTTCACTTTATGAGGTTTTTTAACATTAATATGAGTTCCCCTAGCCTGCCTATGGTCCCCCAGTGGCTAGAAATGGCGATAGGTGTAAACCGAGCCCTGGGTATCCTGCTTTGCCTTTGAGAAAATGAAAGCTCAGATGGCCCAATCTGGAATCTTCCCTTTATGTCGTCATACGGGGAAAGGTTACCTCCCCTTTCTCTGCTTTGCCTGCCCAGAGAATTTGGCCCGCCCATGAGAAAATGAGCTACTATCGTGCGAGGGGAGCGCAATATTTTTTTTTCCTCGAGAGACATCATGGCTTGCAAACGAGCGAAGCATGCAGTTGCCCCGCCTCTCTCCTCCTCATTAGCATTTAAAGCTACAGACACAGAAATGGCACGTCCTAAGGAAAGCTCATTGTGGGACTGGCTCGTAGTGGCTGAAATTCTGCACCAAGGCTGAATTTCGGGAAAGAGACTTCAGATACAGTACTATGGACCACTTAGGCCTATATAAAAGCATCCAAAAAGCAGCATGTCATGGGACCTTTAATGTTAATTGCAAATGCATTGTCTTTGTGCATATGGATATCACACCATGAATGTTTTTAGTAATTTGATAGTAATTTTGACAATGATGAAATAAAACATGAATAAAACAGGTTTACTTACACAAATGTTGTGTCTTTGTTTATCATAACCTCAGAGCTCACTGACATAGAGTGTCATCAGTTTTTAAGTAGACTATATATAGCCATATGTGACACAAGTTCAAATGAACTATTTACAAATAAAAACGTTTCTAGAATGAGACATGTTCTCATGCTCCTCCCAGATGAAGTCAATGCTTGACACCATTGTGGTTTTGCTCTTTAAACCACTTCCTCATACAGAGAGGTGTGTTTAAATGTTGTACTTCCCCTCTGAAACATTTTCTTTTGCTTACCTCATGTTTGACACACTGGGTTTTAATACTTTAGAGAAAGTAAGGTATTTTTTTTTTAAATTCAGGGTTATCTACATGTTTTAACACTTCAATAATTTACTTGTTCACTGTTATCCACTACATTCTAGTAGGCCTATGTATAAATCTAATATAGAACAAAAAATTTGAAGCAAAATATGTGAAATGTTTGTTCATCTATTGTGTCTGTTATTTGATGGCATTTGTGGAATATGTTGTATTATTTTAATATACATATAGTGTCTTTTAATTACATATTTTTTAAATTAGTGTTTCATTAACAGATCAAATGGTATTTGGGACATCTTCTCACTTCTCTAATTCGGCATTAAACAAAGAAAACGACTCAGTTCATCCTGGTGGGCACGGATGGTTTCTGATCTTCATTTTGCTTCATGCGTCAGGTGTCATAACGAGGTGAAAAGCACAAGTCAGCCAGTCATTCACATGTGAATAGACAAGGGCAAAGACATCTGAAAGCTTTGTTGTGGTTCTGAAACAGTTGGATGTCGTTTTCAGAGAGACATGCAGACATATAGGCTAGTCACATAAAAATAGGTTGAGTGACTGAGTCACAAGCAGTTCTATGAGACATTCCGAACATATTTTTACTTCAAAAGATAAGAATGCAAAATTCAAACATCAAATTTTTACAGTTAGGCCTAAATTACATATTTTTAAATTAGTGTTTCATTAACAGATCAAATGGTATTTGGGACATCTTCTCACTTCTCTAATTGGGCATTAAACAAAGAAAACGACTCAGTTCATCCTGGTGGGCACGGATGGTTTCTGATCTTCATTTTGCTTCATGCGTCAGGTGTCATAACGAGGTGAAAAGCACAAGTCAGCCAGTCATTCACATGTGAATAGACAAGGGCAAAGACATCTGAAAGCTTTGTTGTGGTTCTGAAACAGTTGGATGTCGTTTTCAGAGAGACATGCAGACATATAGGCTAGTCACATAAAAATAGGTTGAGTGACTGAGTCACAAGCAGTTCTATGAGACATTCCGAACATATTTTTACTTCAAAAGATAAGAATGCAAAATTCAAACATCAAATTTTTACAGTTAGGCCTATGTGCAGTATATATAAATTATATAGGCTAATACTAATATAATACAGTAAAACCCTTAAAAACCCTTACGTGATTAATAATAGTTATCATTAATTTATAATTGAATAATTGTATATATAGAATAAATTGAATATATTTTCCAAAAATATTTCAACAGAGGCACATTGCACACTCTAGTCTCACTGTTGGACCACGAATAGCTCTGATTGGTTGATTTTGATCCTTGCACAAAACATTAAATCTGCTTAAATTACATTACTTCAAATGTACAATAAAACATTAGCAAAGACGAGTCATTCATGAACACTAGTGATTCCCAAACTAAATTCACGAGTCCTTGCGGCTGATGATTGAAATGCAGGAGCCAGGAGGGTTCGTGCGATTGTGATGTCGACTAGCAATGCCAAACAAACAAACAAACAAACAAAGTTTTAAAAATAAAACGTGTACAATAAAAAAAACATATAAAAAGGATACGTTACATTTATCCAAAAGTTAGAGCATATTATGGCAAATGATTTATGGATCATGTGTCAAAAAAAGAATCACAACAAGAGTCCAAGTAAAGAGCGGCAACACTATTTCCCACGAACGCGTGAACGCCACTTGCTCCCGCCCAATCAAACGCCAGCTTTTCGTTCACCTGATCACAGCGAAGCCATTTTGTCCTGAACGGCTCCGCCAGCGCATTCTTTCGCAAACCGGAATAACGTAGAGCTGACAGTTCAAACCACAGCCACAGACGCGGCGTCAGACGGGGGGTTTACAGCTACACTACCTCTCTTTCAGTCCCGAGCAACTCAACGTCTCTCGGTCTCACCACAGGCGGAACCGTGTCGTTTTCGCGGACTAAAGGGAGACTTTCAGCGGGACGGAAGGGAAGAGAACCAGGCATCCGGTTAGACGCGCTGGCTCACCGGGCTGGAGTCCAACTTGAGCCGGACACTTTCAGCTGTCCTCGTCGGGATGCGTGCTGGACTTGTTTTTAACAATATTTACCCCTCTTTTTGAATTGTATGCGTTATCTAGGAATCTTAGGCTCGCGCGGGATTGTTTTTGTTAGTAACGTTAGTTGTCTAATATAAGAAAGCTGGAGCGCTAGATAACGCTCAGATGTGATTTATCTACTTCAGCTGGCTGGGCAGATAGTTTAGGTTGTCGATTAGATAAGTCGCCTAAATAGATTGCTTACATAATACCTTTGTTTTGTTACCGGTATAGTTGCATTTTTAAGTTAATCCAGCTTTCTTCCCTTCTCTTTGCCAAGTCTCTCAAAGGTTTTGGTTTGTATGTCTATGCATATTTCTCGCAAGCAAACCTGTCAGGGTTCTTGACTGGTCAGGTCTTGGTGCCAGTATAATAGTAGCTTTATAAAGGCAGGAAAAACCACAGAACCGATTTGCCTAATCTAATTTCAAGCTGGTCTGTCAGTGCTTCCCATATCCAGTTTGTTTTCTTTTAAAAGGTCTGTATTGGTGAGGCTCAAGCTGGCTGACAGGTGATATTTTCTGCCTGAATCCTCTGAGCTGGCCTGACTGATAGCTATGACATTTTCCAACAGTTGTTTTGTATCTTCAGACTTCAATATTTCCAGTATCTGCTCTTGGTGCCAACGTTGCATTAGTAATATTAGCTAACAAAAGCTCAGTTCGCCCCTCCAAATTAGTTACGGCATATCTAGTTGTGACATTTTTACTAGTTGGGTCAAGTTTTCCTTCCTTTTTTTGCTAAAAGTGTATGAATTAGTGCCAGTTGACTTGGTGGCTGGTTCGAAACGTATCAAACTCAACAGTTTGTATCGAGTTAGTGTACTTTTGTAAAATCGTGGAAAGACACACCTTTGCAGCGAGACCAGGTCAAGTTTAGCAGTCATTTTTCGTATCTCAGAGGTGAATAAAAATGTCAGGACAGTCCATCACAGATCGCATCGCAGCGGCCCAGCACAGCATGACTGGGTCAGCCATCAGCAAAGCCGTCTGCAAGGCCACAACGCATGAGGTCAGTGGACCCAAAAAGAAACACCTCGATTGTGAGTATGCCAAATTATTATTTTTTTTCACACGGGCTCTTCGCAGGTATTCCAGAGTGCTTTTTAAAAGCTCAAAGACTTATTGCATCCCTGGCATGCAGTTCCACTAGCCTTGCACATCCTCAGCTGTCTGGACACCAGTGATGAATTGGAACGTGCTCGTGATGGGAATGCTGAACTGTTTTTGGACACGGTCAGTTCGAGGAGCTGACGCCACTATAACGTGGGCAGTATACAGTCATTCACTAGATTTGTGGCCCATTTGATTTTTTTCTATAATGCTGTATGTGCTAATTCAGCAGTGTTGTAGAGGTTATGTCACCGTGCAATCAACCTCAATCTATTAATATCTGCTTCATAATAACGGCCGCTCCGGCTTGAATCAGTGAACGCAGCTGTCAGGGTTTCTGATGCATCGTGTTTGAAGTCATGTGTTGTGCGTAATGTCTTCACGTCTTGTGTGATCATCGCCGAGCCGGTGAATACAAGCGTGTCAATACAAGTGTGTGTGCAGTGAAGCATTGAGTCATTGATTCTTTTGACACAAGCAGAGTTAATGCAGAATGCAGCATGTCAGTTTCATCCTCGCATAGGCAGTGTTACAACATAGAGAAAAAGATTTTGAAAAAGTATTTACACTACTTGTATCTGATTCTGATATACTGAACATAGATAAATGCATCTAGGTGCAAAATGCTCTTCATCAAGGGATGTGTTATTAGACCTTTAACTGCAAGAGTCTGGCTGCTTTGGCACCTGTCATTAGGGTTGGGTACCGAAACCCAGTACCAATATGGCACCGGTACCTATGTAACCGGTATGTACTAGAACCGAATCCGAATGCAGATTTAGGTGCCTCATTTCGGTGCCATGACCCGTTCACACCGCCAGCGACACACAGCAACAGAGCGACATAATCCCATTCATTTTCAATGGAGAGCTGGCGACTTCCGGCGACAAGAGCGACAGTGACCATTGGCGACGGAATGTGGGCGTGTCAAGCGATGCGAGTCAAGCGACAAAAGTTCAGAATTCTTCAACTTTATGCAAATAAGCAGCGAATTTCGCGAGCGACAACCAATGGGAGTGAAGTCAGTGGAGAGCACGTGATTCATCTGCTGTAGTGGAGTGTTACGGGGGTAACTAGGCAGCCAGTAGTGGGAACGCCCACTAGCGACCTCAATTGCGAGCCACAAGCGACAAGCAGCAAAAAAGTCGCTGGCAGTGTGAACGGGGCTTGAAGCCCCGTTCACACTGCCAGCGACAAAGTGACATGCTTCCATTAATTTTCAATGGAGAGCTGGCGACTTCCGGCGACACAAGCGACAGTGACCGTTGGCGACAGAATGTGGGCGTGTCAAGCGATGCGAGTCAAGTGACAAAAGTTAAGAAATGTTTAACTTTATGCAAATGA